TACTATTAATTCAATAAAATTTTCTTACTAAACAATTAAGAAAAAAAGAAATCAAGACATGTTAAGATTTAAAATGTTAAGATATTTAATAATAATTACATAATAAGTTTGATAAAATTAAAACTTACATTATATCTTACATATTTAATAGCTGTGATTAGACATCCTATCATTTTAAATTTCTAGATATCTTGATTTTTTTTAATAATTAATTAATATTACATTTTTTTATTAAAAATAGAGAAAATATTAAAAACTTTTAATTTTTAAAAAAATTGAGTCCACCCAACCTAATTCAAGATTGTTGAGGATGGGTCATGAATCTACCTTTTTAATCTAAAATTAAAAATAATCTAATTTGATAAACCCAAAATATAAGATGCTTCAATTAAAACCCACCTAATCTAACTTATTTGCTACATTAGCACTCTTTTGTCAATTTATTCAACCAGAGTCGGTCCACATTTCAGATTTTCTATTTACCATTTCCCATCCACACTATTATTTTCTCCTTAAAAAAAAAAACAAAAGGGATCATACTCTACTATGGCAAAGCCCCACGATTAAACCTCTAAATTGACCACATATTTTCAATTGAGTACTTCAAGTTTTTTTAAGTAGATAAACTTCTGAACCCCACGAGTCTGTGCAATGTTGCCCTTCTCTTAATGTTGAATTGTACAGTTGCATCAGAGAATGATAAAATTGCACAAGTGGTGGGTTGGGGCTTATTATCTACTGTGAAAAGAAAGAATTTTAAGCCCAATCGATCATCACGGGTTTTGCCTTATTCCAATTTCTCGATAAAAGGGGGTGCCAAGGGAAGCCGGTGAAGTGGGGAAGTGAGACTGGACACTTTTTCATTACTTTCTCTCTGTTTCTCTCTTCAATTTTCTTTCGGTTCTAGCCATGGTGGTATCTCTTAGGTCTCTGCTTCTCACTTTTCTTCTCACTCATGTTGCAGGTACTTTCTACTCTCTCTTCCTGAGCAAGATCTGTCGATGGGTTTCGATTCGCATGTTTTCCATTGTTCTTTAGAGTTTAGACTACCATTTTGCGTGCAATTAGTTATGCAGCATGGCAAACACAATCAAAACATTAAAATGAACTTTATCAAGTTCTGTTTCATGATTCTCCTCCCATTTGTGTTCTTTTTTCACAATGTGAACATTTACAGGTGAAATAATCTTAGATTCGGCATATTCCTCACCTTTTCTTCCAACACAGGGTGTCTCTGTTTCTTTTAGTTGAAAAATTGCTGTTTTCTGAATGAAAGTTTGCATCTTTTTTAAACAGTTGAAGTGTCAGCCACAACAGTGACGTTCTTCAACAAGTGCCCTCACGCAGTTTGGCCAGGCATCCAGCCCAGCGCCGGCAAGCCCCTCCTTGCCCGCGGCGGCTTCAAACTCTCACCCAAAAAGGCCTACTCCTTAAATCTCCCTTCCCTCTGGTCCGGCCGCTTCTGGGGCCGCCACGGCTGCTCCTTCGACGCATCCGGCCGCGGTCGTTGCGCCACTGGGGACTGCGGCGGCTCTCTCTTCTGTAACGGTCTCGGCGGCACTCCTCCGGCCACCCTTGCGGAGATCACCCTCGGGAGAGACCAAGATTTCTACGACGTTTCGCTTGTGGACGGCTACAACATTGCCATGTCCATAACCCCTTTCAAAGGTACTGGAAAATGCAGCTACGCCGGGTGTGTGAGTGACCTGAACATGATGTGTCCAGTGGGGTTACAGGTCCGGTCCACGGACAAGAAGAGGGTTGTGGCTTGCAAGAGTGCCTGCTTCGCTTTCAATTCGCCGAGGTATTGCTGCACGGGCAGCTTTGGGAGTCCGCAGTCTTGCAAGCCGACGGCGTATTCGAAGATCTTCAAGGAGGCGTGTCCGAAGGCCTATTCTTATGCATACGATGATCCCACCAGCATTGCCACTTGCACTCACGGCAGCTACTTGGTTACTTTCTGCCCTCACCATCGTTAGATCCATATTTGAATCAATATCTTAGAAGAACCATATTCTCATTGTTGTCAATGTAATATATACAGTGTGTATTACGGGGGTTGGGGTGGACTTCTACTAGTACTAATCATATGAGTATGGTTTGGAAAAAGTGTTTGGACTGAATGGCTTAATTCTTATTATTGGAAGGGGTTAGATTATCAGATATTGTGTTTCCTCTATTTCACAACTTTTATTTTGTTGTTCAGACTTCAGACGGGTTTAAGTTGTAAAATAACTATTATGGAATATTTGTTTACAAAAGGCATAACTCTAGTTTAAGTTATTGAATTTACTTTAAATTCTTTATTAAGTTTCTGAATTTTTATTAAAATGATTAAGTTTTTGAATATTTATTAAAATAAATAAATTTTTGAATTTAATAATTTAGATAATTTATTTTTTAATTATAAATTTAATATTTATTTATATTTCATTTATGTAAATAACATGTCAACATGTGGTTGTTTATATAAAATGTACTAATTTTGATCACGTGAATTAAATTGTACAAATAGATATTAAATTTATTAAAAAAATTAAATTATTTAAATTGTTAAATTTAAATTTTTAATTAAAATTCTAAAATAAACTTAAAAATTTAATTAAAATTCTAAAATAAATTTAAAAATATAACCTTAAATTTTACCTTTATAAAAATGTATATGCAGTTTAAACACTTAAATTAGATACTTAAATTTTTTTGTTAATATATTTAATAATGACGGGACACTTAAATTATTAAACGGGATGATCCATTGTACATAATGTTCGCCCCCCGATTCAATCAATGGACATTCGTTGTGTACTGACGGGGAGCAAAATTGGTAATAGATTAGGTAGAATTATTAAGCATGGAGATGACTTATTGCGTCCAGGACCAGTAATGGACTGTTGATGCGGAGTGTGGGATTCTTAAACGGTTTAATATATCCTTTAATCATATTGGTTTGCCTAATTATGTCCTTGTGTTTTTCAAGAAATTATGCTCTTTTACTTTTATGTTCGCGAAATTATCAATCACCATATGCTCCTGAAAAGTGAGAGCAATGATTTATTACTATAAAGAGAAGGAATTCAACTTTTTAAAATAAAATTTTAAATTTAAATTTTATAAATAAAAACATAAAATTTGAAAGGCGTTTTTTTTTTTTAGCAATGCTAGGAACACTCGCCATTTGCACTCTCCAACCAACACTTCCATTTTCATTGGATCACTTTATTTTAGTTAGGAGAGGTAATCAATTTATAGCCCAAGCGAGCTTACGTGGCTCAATAAAAAAGCGTTTGTTGGCTGGAGAGTACAGGAGGCGAGTGCCCCTAACACTACTTTTTTTTTTTCTTTATTCACCCTAACACATTTTCATATTAGTTAGAGTATAATATGGTTTTTATATATGATAAGGGGAATAAAAAAGTCAGAAAGTAAGGGTTAGTATGGTAAATTCGAATTCACGAATTACCATGAATGAATGAAATGAAAGGTCTCATGGTTGGGTACAGCTATTTTGGGCTCAATTATGGGGGGTGTGGAGAAAAATAGTACTACCTCCTCCAGAATATAGTTTCTCCACTCATTTTTCATATAGTTTTATTTTAATTTTTTAAGATAAATTTTAGGTAAAAATTTAGTATACTATAAAATAAGAAAAATATATATTAGTCATAATTTTTAAAATAAATTAAAATTTTAATTTTAAATTAATTTATTTTATTTTATTAAAATTTAATTTAAAATTTTAAAATACATCTTATTAAATATTAATATTTAAATTTAAAAACTGATTATATTACAATATATAATCAAATTTTAAATTT